TGAGGACTCTGAACCCCGTCCTGCTACATCTGTGTGTGCCTTGGCATCAAAATATTGGACTGGACTTAAATGATGCGATAATGAAATGACTGGTTCACCTGTGAATGATGGGTGTCATATATATATATATGTGTGTGTGGAGGGGTTATGTGGGTCTTCACTGTCCCAGAGTTCATGGACGATAACAGATTTAATATGTGTAATATTAATGGGAAATACTTACAACTGCAGCTCAAATTAAAAACAAAATCAGGTTGATTGTGTTTTCTTTTTTCCCTGTTTTTCTAATTGAATGCAGACGTCTGTTTACACACTGTAAGAAGAAGAAGCACATGTGTAATTAACAGTTTACTAACAACAAACATGGAGTTTATTCACTGAATCTTAATCATTGCAAGCAGAACATGGAAGATTATACGCATGGTGACAAGAAAAAAAGTGTACTATACAAAAAATATGTATTTGAAATGCTGCAGAAAAAGATTTTCCTTTTAAAAAGTGTTTTTATTCAAGAACAAACATTTTAATCACTTGTAGATTTACTGTTATAATCATAAATATAGTAAAATATAAAATAATCTGACATAAAATAGTAAAGGAAAGAAAAGCTTTGGTGTTTTGGTAAAGTAATCAGTGATTATGTTGCAATGTAATATTATATAATTGAATTGAATTTAACTTATAGCAGGAAAATCCTGTGTTTTAATAACATTAATAAGATTAACGATGACTTTCAGGTGCTTTCCTACATGTTCAAATGTGTTCAGTAAAAGGGCTAAAAATGTGTTGATCTGTATGCAAAGTGAACTCTATTCTGAGGACTGAGTGTGTGATTCAACATTTGGTCTTTAAAATCTAAGAACTGAGCCGCTCTGTTTGCATATTGTTATAGAAATTGAGTTAAAGTACATTACAGTACATTACAGTCTGACAAATGAAGGTACATTTGTGCCAAAAATCACATTAGAATCCAATATTACCGTAAAATAGTCCCAATGATTTGCAGCATTGCCCACAATAATCTAATATACAGAGATATATTCTATATTTTCATCATCTTTATCACCAAGTGAGTCA